TTTATTTGTCAGAGAGAGAGAGAGAGCAAGCACAGGCAGACAGAGTGGCAGGCAGAGGCAGAGGGAGAAGCAGGCTCCCTGCCGAGCAAGGAGCCCGATGCGGGACTCGATGATAATACGAAGTTTTAAATGCTATGAAGAAAACCAAAGCATGAAAGGGTGCTCAGGGACATGAGGGACTGGGGAGGGTGCTGTCGCTCCGTAAGAAGGAACTGATGACGTGTCAGTCCCTGGCTGGGATGAACAGTGCTTCCTAGACACTTAGCAGAGACCTTCGTAAACCTCACGTGTCACACTTTCACGGCTGATTCAAGAGGTTGTCAGCACAGCTGTCATGGAGCTCATCCTCTAGAAGAGCAGACTGGCATTCCGGGAGGCCAGGCCACCCCACATCTCATCTGTGAAAGCTGAGGCAGCCTCAGTACCCACATCCTCTCTGCGTCTCTTCAGTTGACCTTGTCGCCTACCCACATGACCATGTCACCTGGAGCTGAAACTAGAAGTGGCAGAGAGGGAAGTGGCATCGGTCACCCTCTGTGTATTGGGCCCAGTGCTCAAGTAAATCTGCACCGCACCCCTTAGGTGAGAGAACCACACAGCTTTGACCGCTAAGCCAGCATTTATGAAAAGACACACCCAAGCGTGCCCACTTCCCTTGATGTCCAGCGCCATGCACAGGGCAGGAAACAAAAATGCAGATCCCTGCCCAAGCAGCAGATTCCTTTCCCCTGCTAGATGCCCAGACTCTTGGCCTCGGCCAGTCCTCCTAGTCCAGACCCCCTCTCAACCCTGGAACGGAGACCAGAGGGATTGTTTGTCTCTATTTACTCATAGTTAACAAAAGCATGTATTTGCAGCTTATCCACTTTCAAATGCAGTAAATACAGCAACCAATCTCCCACCCCATGAATATTTCATTTTGGAGATTACTGCATAAATATTGTATTTGGATATTATGGGGTGGGACATCACATTAAAATTGCAGGACGGTGCTATTCTCCGACATAATGGAACTCGAAATTAAAAGGCTGGTCTGTGGACAGAAAAGTTTTGCATGTCCTCACACCTGTATTTCATTTCTTCCTCTCTCTGGGTTAGTAGTCTTGGTTATTATTGGACATTATTCTATAATTAGCATCAGCTGGAGCTGAGGTAGGATTTTTCTTTTACTAAACTCAGGGGCTTCCTTTAATGGACTTGTTTTAGAGCTGAGTTTTGTGGTCAGTGGAATGGGACAGTAAGCATATTGAAAACCTCCAACAGGTTACTCCCAGAGAGAACATGGCTTTGCGACCAGCTTGGATTTTACGCTTGGAAACACGTGTTGGGGAAAGAACAAGACCACCATCTTTGGATACCTGGGTCTTTTGGTTGGCTTGTGTCCTCAGAGCAGTCATCGGCCTTCTCTGGGTCCCAAGTTTCTGGCTGGAATTCCTGCCCCACACCCTCTTCCTAGGTAGAACAGAGTGACTTAGAGAGTGTTGCAACTGGAAAATGCCCAAGAGTGACCCAACCCGTGGTTATTATGTGTGGTGGCCCATGAGCTGGATTCAGGCTAGGGCTCTGTTTTATTTAGCCAGAAATACCTTTTTTTTTTTTTTTTTTTTTTAAAAAATTTGAGTGCTTTAAAAAAAAAAAAATGCTTTCTCTCCTTTGTTGACTCTGCCTCCCCTGTGGCCCTACACTCAGTCTTCCTCAGATGCTTCCATTATCACTCTGACCCCTGCAGGTATTTTAGGCTGCAGTGCAGACCTAGCCCAACTTTGTCATTTTACCAAGGGGGAAGCCAAGACTCAAGGACATCGCTTCCCAGAGTCGCTCAGCTGGTTACTGGTAGAGCCACACCTCAGCATAGGTGAAAAGCACTTCTCAACAGAATTCAGTGTGTTTGCCATCATCAACACTATTATGACACTGTCGTCATTTCTGTTAAGAATTCAGTGTTTTACATCATCATGCTCAGTGAGTGGCCATTGTCTGGGGCAGGTCCCCCACTTGTGCAGAAGAAAGTGCTGGGGCTGTGGATTTATTAGTGAGGGTTCACAGGGATCCCTCCAGGGGCTGTCAGTGGATTTGGGGAGGCCCAGCTGGAGGGATTCTCTGTAGAGTTCAGCATGTCCAGCACAGCGCGACTGTCTCAGCTCTTGGACCCTGCCACGTGGCATCACGATAGATCTTTCTGAGGGGCGCCTGGGTGGCTCAGTTGGTTATTAGCTCTTGATTTCGGCTCTGGCCGTGATCTCAGGGTCGTGGGATCAGGCCCTGCACTGGGCTCCTTGCTCAGCATGGAGTCTGCTTGGGATTGGCTCTCTCCCTCTCCCCTGCTCCTCCCCCTGCTTGCTTGCTCTCTCTCTCTCTCTCTCTTTCTCTCTCTCTCTCTCTCAAAGAAATAAGATGGGGCTTTAAAAAAAAAAATAGACCTTTCCTGAGTTACTGCCTTGCATTATCCTAGGAACTGTGAGGAAGGCAGAAAGGAGGAATCCAAGGTCAGTGCTAATGAGAGCAGAGTCTACCTGGGGGGAGACTGGTAACTCCCATCTGAAGACAGTGATGAGGTCTGCCACGGAGGTGCAAAGGCCTGTAGACATGTGACAAGGGATGCGGACTGGCTTAGTGGAAGAGAAGTCTTAGTGTGCCACAGCCTGGCTGCCTGCTCTCTCTGGGGCCTGACAACATTCATATCCATCCTGGTAGTGATAAAAGTTTAAATTGTTCAGGAATGTATTAGGACTTTTTCAACTTCAAGTGACAGAATCCCATCTCCACGTGCCCTAAGCACATTACTGATGAGTCTGGTGGTGAGTCACACATAGCGGGATCCCGGGTCTCAAGCCAAGTCGCTAAGACTTAATCCCTCTCTCTTTCTCTGCTCCTCTGCTCCTACTCCTCCCCTCCCCTATTTCACTCTCCCTCTCCCCCTCTGTCCTTCCCGCTCCCTGTTTCTGTATTACTTCCACTGACAAACAGCTTTATACTCATGGTGACAGGATGGCTGCCAGCAGCGCTAGACTGACATTCTCCCAGCAAAAATGCCATCCTCCTTCCTGGTAGATCCAGCAAAAATCCAGGAGCCCGATGTCAGACTTACCTTAAGTTCCTCACCCATCCCTGAACCAGTTACGGCAGCTGGGCAGATGGAGAGCCCTCACTGACCAGCCTGGTCATGTCACCACCCCTGGTGCTGGGCACGGGGCGCCAATCCAAGCCAGCCGAGAGTCGGAGATAGGTGACTGTCTGAGGAACGACCAAGCTGTGCCTCCCAGAAAACTGAGGAGTGGATGCTGGATAGACAGAAACTCGGGATGTAGCCTTGAAAACATTACGTTGGGGGAGGAAGGCAAATACAAACAGGCCGCATATTGTCTGCCTCACTCTCTGTGACGTGTCCAGCATAAGTAAACCCATGAATGCAGAAAGCAGATCGGTGGTTTCCAGAAGGCAGATGGATGGGGCCAATGACTGCTTATGGGTATAGGGTCTCCTTGCGTGGTGGGTGGGCGGGGGGGGGGGTGCTGAAATATTTTGAAACTACATACCCCAGCATCATGAACATACAAATGCCACGGAATTGTACACATTAAAATGGTTGATCTTCTGTTGTATGAGCTGGAGAAGCAGCGAACTCCCTGGGTCAGGAGAACTCTCGGGAGCAGGCTCCCAGAATGATAACTAGCCTCTGAGGAGCAGGAACATCCTTCCTTCTGGTCCGTCCCGCCCCACACCAGGCCAGCACAGTAGGTGTGCGGTTCCCCAGTAAAGCAGAGGAACTGAGGGTTCGCGCCAGAGGCTTGGTTCTAGTTCTGCCCATGCTCCCAACAGCTCTGGCTTTCCCAGCCCTTTGATCTTTGGTTTCTGCATCTACAAAATAGGAAGTACCAGTTCTGCTCTGCCTGCATTGCAAATCCCAAATACACACGCACGTGTGCGCGCGCACACACACACACACACACACACACACACACAGTCTAGAGTAGGAGTTACTACTCTGGGGTTCATGGAGAGAATTCAAGAGTTCATAACTTCAGCTGGGAAGAGAATTATCTTGGTTTTCACTAAACTCTAACTAAAATCCAGCTAAATAGAGGTAACACACCACAACAGCATTAGTAGTAGCCATTAGGAGTCACAGATTTTCATACCACATTAGGGTCGTGCGTATACCTCTAAGTGTCACTTACGCTCACCCCTTCTGCAAAATTATGGTAGTTATTAGATCCACCGTGAGATTGTGTTATCTCGTGTTCAAAAAAGAAATACACGTTATCATAAATGCAGTGTTTTTTGTTTTTTTAGGATTTTTATTCATCTACTTGACAGAGAGAAAGATCACAAGTAGGCAGAGAGAGAGGGGGAAGCAGGCTCCCTGCTGAGCAGAGAGCCTGATGCGGGGCTCGATCCCAGGACCCTGAGATCATGACCCGAGGTGAAGGCAGAGGCTTTAACCCACTGAACCACCCAGGCGCCCCAAATGCAGTGTTTTTTAAAAATCTTCTGTGATCCTGTATTTAATGTGTGAATCCAAAGCACACAAATTAGTGGATTGTAACTTTGGTGTTTGTCAAAGAGACTTGTAATCCTGCCTGTTTTGAGGTGTGCCTTTAAGAGCATGATTCCGAGGTGAACAGCCGGAGGCTGTGATCACCCAACTGCCCAGGCATTCATGGCATGAAAAGGTGATTTCCAAAAGTTCTGCAAAGGCGGAAGCAGGTGGTCATTGCACTGTTCTTGTGCCGTGCAAATCCCCTGAACGTTCTAAGTCTTGGGGTCCTCAGCTGTAAAATGGGCATAATGGCAGTGCCCGCCTCATAGGGGTATAGTGACCTGTCTCACTTCAGAAGAGCAGGGGAGAAGCTATATACAGACCCCCTTCCTGGCTCGATCCCTAGCATACAGTACATATTGGGCACAAATGCCCAATATATGCATTTATTGCCCTGATTGTGCTATTTCATTTGGATTCTGTGCACCTTTGGGCTGAAGGGCGACTCTGTCTTTCCCAGATTCATCCGAAAGCAGGGTCTGGACCGGCTCTTCCTGGAGTGTGACGCCCACATGTGGCGACTCGGGGACCGGCGAATCCCAGAGGGCATTGCTGTGGATGGAGGCTCCGATTGGTTCCTGCTGAACCGGAAGTTTGTCGAGTACGTGACCTTCTCCACAGACGATCTGGTGACCAAGATGAAGCAGTTTTACTCCTACACCCTGCTTCCTGCTGAGGTGAGTTATGTAGGGGAAAAGTCCCCGAGCAGGGTGGGGGCTGGCTCTAGCCTTTGGAGCAACACGGAAGCTGAATTTTGGCGGAAGGTTTGGCAAAGCCATGCTGGGTCCGGTACGTAGTCCTCCAAACAGCCAGATGAAGGTGGAGAACTAGTCCTTGCTGTCATAGCAGGTCCCTGGTCCCCCTCCGGTCTGCAGGGTGGGTGTGTGGAATACACAGACTCACGACACCGCCACCAGCAGTTCCATGGCATCTTTGTGCAAAGTAGAAAGGGCAGTCCTTCCTTAAGACACTTGGGTCCCATTTGTCGTAAAAATCATCATGATATACTGATTTTTTTAGAACAGGACACTTCACTGCCACTTTCCACAAAACTTTTGTTAAAAAAAAGAAAGAAAGAAAGAAAGAAACCTCTCATACTTACCATGTTGATGGTGCCCCACTAGGGTTGTGCAGTATGTGGCTTGCGCAACTGTATGTGCTGGATTTTTCAGGACATACCTACATCACCTTTTGACAGATCCTCCACCGTCATCAATCCTGTAATACCCACTTTTTCAACATGAAGAATACCTTTTCTAATTTTGAGTATTTGTCTGTCATTCCCTGACAGATAGACGGTACTGTTGGCCTCTTCATTCACAAATGGAAATTCCAGTGATTCTAAAGACAGAAAGCCAGGGCTTCTGCTGGACCTGCACTAGCCCCCATACTGACAGCCATTGGGATGCAGCATTTCCTGATGACTTTTAGAAGCATTTGAAAAGCTCCAGGGACCCTGTCACCACTTTTCAGACTCAGTGTGGGGAAGGTGTTTTAGTTCAAACTGCTATAATGAAGTACCACAGAGTAGGTGGCTTATACACAACAAGAATTTACTTCTCACAGTTCTGAAGCCTGTAAGTCTGAGGTCAGGGTATGAGAATGGTCGGTTTCTAGGGAGGACCCTGTTCCGGGCTGCAGACTGTTACCGGCTGTTCATATGCCCCAAGGGACGAGGTTGCTCTCTGGGGCCCCTTTTATCTGGGCATGAATCCCATTATGAGGTTTCCACCCTTCTGGTCTAATCACCTCCCAGAGGCCCTCACCTCCTAACACTATCACATCATGGGGCTGGGATTTCAACCCATGGGTCTCGGACGAGCCACAACCATGCAGTCCATTGCAGAAGCCCAGTTGCACAGGGTTGCAGACCATTCTGGAACAGTCACCCGTTCCATCCAGAAGTAGTGGGGACCCAGTTCTGAAATGGCGCCACTGACAGGCCAGCAGCCTTCTCAGACCTGCTCTGACCTCCGGTTCGCTTCCATCCCAGTTTCTGACTTCAGAAAACTCCAGAGCTGGTTGCACGTCTCTTGAGCCCATGACACCTCGCATGAATGGTCTACTGCCATTTCCTCCGGGTGGTGCCCCAGGTTCAGGCTGCGTTTCTAGGCCAGACAAGACAACATTTGATGGTTCCCACATCCCTCACCAACATCTGGGGCAGTGCCAAGCTGGTAGGGCTGACTGCCCACATCACTCCAGAGGGATGATGAGCTTGTCATCACTAGGCCCAGGTTTACTATTCCGCACACACATTCGGTAATCAGCTTTTAATCCTATTTCCATGAAAATCACCTTTTCTCTCAGTGCTGATAACCTCCTCATCCATTATCTCGCAGGGAATTTCCGTATCATTATGAAAGGACACAGGGCAATCGGTAATTGGGAACTTTTCCCCACCGCTTGATGGATAATATGTGCCTCTGTGGGCTTGTAGACAATTCAAGCTTAAAATCCAGGTTCACAGGCATATGTCATTTAGCAGCACAGGAAGGGAGGCTGGAGAGGGTGCATGGAACCTCGATTTGCCCATCCACCCATTGAGAAGAGACCGTGTGGGGCTCTGGTCGTTTTAATCAAGATGCGCATCCCGATGATGGCTCTCTCCGTCACAGCCCCGCCCCAGCATACGGGCACTTCATACCCCAGCATCCCTGCTGTGCCCTCCTTTCTCCCAGACCACCACCAGGAAACCACTTTAGAATAAATCTAAAGGCTGAGCCATGAATTTGTCACAGGCAGACTCGTATCCCCCAACAGCTTCCCTGAGGTAGCAGAGATCAGGGCAGAATGTATCTGCCTCATATCTGGGGTTGTTATAAAATAGTGTCCAACTAGAAGTCTGTCTGCCTGCCTGTCTGTCTGTCTGTCTCTCTCTGTCTCTCTCTCTCTCAGAGGCTATAACCATGTTTCTCGTCTCTGGTCTCTTTCTCCACTCTCAGCGTTGCTTCTTTCTTAGATTCTTAGGAGAGGTAGGCCAAGAGTCTTAGGGTTAGCAGAGACCCGTGGAGCTGGTTCAGCACCATGGACAGCAAGCAGCCCTGGCCCGCCCCTCCCTGTGCTGGAAAGCAGGAGGGGTGCCTGGGACACCTTTCAGCCCTGGGACTGCTACACCCGTGAATCTGGCTTCCCTTACCCAGGGGTGAAATTCCAGAGCATCAGTCTTTGTTCTCAAGATATCTCAGACTGGAGTCCCTTTGGTGTCAGACCTGTTTGCAAAGCACGAGCCTTATTGGCCCAGGATTTTCTAGAAAACTGTCACATGTTTCCTGTGGTTCCCATGTGTGGACGTGACCAGAGGGACTTTTCCTCTCTGCCAGGCAGACAGAAGATGTCCTGAATGATAAGAAACATCTTGAAATCAGATTGTAGACTGGGGAAAGAGAGTTTAAGGAAACACCTGGAGCGTTGGTCTCCCAAGCAGAATTCAGCCACTCTGGACCAAACATCCCATGTGCCCTGAGTCGGACCAGGTGGTGGCTACACCCTTTGCAGAGATGACCGAGGAGCCTCCCGAGAGTGTCCCTGTACAGTCCCGTGGTGCTGGGGAGGGAGGCCGGAGGAGGCCTCAGGCCGGTTCCTTCCCTCTCTCCCTTGCAGTCCTTCTTCCACACGGTCCTGGAGAACAGCCCCCACTGTGACACGATGGTGGACAACAACCTGCGCATCACCAACTGGAACCGGAAGCTGGGCTGCAAGTGCCAGTACAAGCACATCGTGGACTGGTGCGGCTGCTCGCCCAACGACTTCAAGCCGCAGGACTTCCACCGCTTCCAGGTGAGCCCTCAGCCCCGCCCCCACACCTCTTGGCCAGTGTTGGTGGTCATCCAAGGCCTGGCTGGTGTGGCATCTTATGTCGTGGTGTCCGGCCCTGGCTGCTGGCAGTAACGGTGACGGCCAGAGCAGGACTCGCCATTCGTCGCCCCCCACCCCCCCGTGCTGGAGCAGCTCTAAGCATTTGGCCTGTATTGATGCGTGAACCCCACCCACCCACCATCAAGCTTAGATGGGTACATAGAGACAGTGTTATCGTTTATCTGTTTTAGAGATGGAGAAACTGAGGGACAGAAGGGTCAAAAACTTGTTTGAGGTCATGCAGGCAATGGATGTTTCCATGTCCATTTCTCTGTGCTGCCTTTCAGTCGGTCCCCTGAAATACAAAGTTCAGTGTGCCCGGGGCAGAGCTTCTCCTCCTCAGCGCTCTTAACATGGCGGCTGGGTCGGTGTCTGCCGCAGGGGGCACCGTCCTGTGCCTCGCTGCGTGGTCAGCGTCCATGGTTCTGGCCACTTGATCTGGTAGCATGCTCCAGTTGTGATGACCAGAAGTGGCTTCAGACATTGCCACATGTTCCCTGGAGGCAAACTCACCCCCAGTTAAGAACTGCTAGTCTCTGGTGAAGTCTGGTAATTTTTATTTTTATTTTAAACATGTTAGACTCTAGAAAATTCTGATGAGCAGCCATATTTGGAAACCACCTTGCTCTGTGGACCTAAAGGAGGAAGAGGAGGTAGAAGCGTTAGTGCTATCTCAGTGTCTCTGCGTCGCCTGGCCATTTACGGTTTTGGGGAGAGCAGAGGGCAAGGGGTGGTCAGTGTTTCACCTTCCATGAGCCTCGAGGATGTCTTGGTCCCCAGACTTGTTTGGGATGGCAGCCTCTCTCCATCCTGTGGGAGTGCCCCTCCTGCACCCTGTAGGCCAGCACCCTGAGGCTCTCCCTCCTCTTCCCCTCCACCATGCCCTCACCCCTGCTGCGGAGAGCACAGACAGGCAGCCCCAGAATGGTTAGACACATTGCTCTGAGGTCACAAGACCCACCATGTGGAGAGGGCATGCTTCTTCCCCAAGCACTAGCCCAGAGGGCGGCAGGGAGCCACAGGGCAGGTCGAGAAGCCAGGCTGAGGTGCCCCCACCGACTCAGTCCGGCAAATAACAGAACCCTCCAGGGGAGGGCACGGGCTGCCCAAATGGAGCTTCTTGTCTCTGAGCCTCACTTCTCTCCTGGGCATGTGGTCCGCAGACCATCCGCCTCAGCCTCACCAAGGAGCTTGTTAGAATTACAGGATCTCTGCCCCCCACCCCAAGTGCTCGGTCAGAATCTGCATATAAATAAGATTCTCCAAGTGACTGGGAGGCTCCTAATATTAGAGAAGCACAGGGTAGGAGTCTCTTCTGTCCCCAGGCTGTGTGCCAGACACTCTGTGGGCGTTGGCTTCCCTGGGGTAGGCAACATCCCCATTGTGAAGGTGGGAAAACTGAGGCAGAGAGGGGCAAACTTTCTTGTCCTTCAACACAGAGTGGAGTGGTAGGGCTGGGGGTCCCTCCCAGCTGCTTCCAGCTGCAGCCCTGGGCTTTTTCCCCCAGATCCCGTGGCCACCCTGGTTCTGTGCCTACACAGGTGCAGAGCACACAGCAGGTGCCCTCTCGTTATTCAGTTTCCCTCCAGGTGCCCATCTGACGTCTCGCACCCCCGTCAGCGGTTGCTGCCATAAGTATTTCTTTAGGCCTATTTTTGATGGCAGATTAAGAGCTACCCATGGACCTCCTCAAACCCGTGTTAATTTAGGTATGAACTTGGGTGACATTTCGTGCCTTTGTCTATGCAGAAAGGATCTGCTGAGCAGAAAGAGTGTGGCAGGGGAAGTATTTGACCTATTCAAAAGGCAAAAAGGAAAAAAAAAAAAAAAGATTCCTGGTTTTGTAGAGAACCAGTTGTTGCCCTTGAGGCAAAGAACCTTCATCATTTAGAGCAAGCGGGCGGGTGGTTCTGGAGAGCATTGCCTGCGGGCTGGGCGGCCTTTGCCTTTAGCCCCAGGCCTCCCGGGGACATCGTGGTCTCTGGTACAAAGACGGGCCAACACAGAGACCTCGCACGTGCTCCCAGCTCTTTCTTTCCCGGTAAACAAAGATCCAGAATATCCCTCCACATCTAGATGCAAGAAACTGCTGCTTGTAAGGAACTCAGAGTTCTTGTTCGAAGAAGAGTGGTAAATATAGACATGTACCCTTTTAGGAGATCCAGCTGTGAATAATCACAAGCAGAGAACAGAGGCTGCCTGGCCCCTGAGTCCACTTCTCTGCCCCCAGAACACGAAGCCCTTGGCGCAGGCTTCGGGTGGTAGTGACAGTAGATCCTAATAGCAGATGACCCTGTGCGCCAGACTCTATGCTAAGTAGCTCTGTGATGATTCCCATTTCAGTGCTGAGGAAGCTGAGGCTGTGGGTGATTTCCCCAAAGACCTCTACACCTAGAAAGTAGCAGAGTAAGGACGTGAACCCAAGTGGTCTCTTTCAGAGCTGCTTCAAGGGAACTAAATTCTGACCCTCCACCACGGAGAGGGCCAGAATATTATTAAATATTATCCACAGGCCACCATAGGGTTCATAAAGCAGGAAGGCGAGGACACGTTCAGCATAATACCAAGGATGTTTGTTTACTCAGCAGCTCAGTCCTGGGATAAGGCAGTAGAAAGAGATGGGGCTTGAGTCATCAGATCTGGTTCGAATCCTGTGCATGTGTGAGTTTGTATCCGTCACTTCCCCTTTCTGAGCTCTGTTTCCTTATACGTAAAATGAGGTCATGAGACCTGCTTCGCAGAGCTGATGGAAGAGTGCGAGGTGGTGACATGACGCAGGGTGACGGGCTCTGCAGAGAGTGTGTGCTCGGTGGTCTTTATGGTCATTAGTGCTATTAGTAATCCACTGCAGGGAAAACAGTGCCAGATCCCGCTTAAGGTCAGTAAATTACTCAAGGGAGGGGCTGTGCTTTCATTGTTTCCAAAGCCCTAGAACGGGGTCTGCAAGCTACAGCCACTGGGCCGAATCCTGCTTTTGTTAAGTGAAGGGTTTTGGGAAGCAGCAGCACCCATTCATTTGCCTCTGCTGCATTCACTCTGCCGGCTTCACAGGACAACAGCCTACCCAGTAGCTGCAAAGCTGGAAATAATTATTATGTGACCCTTGGTGGGTCCCCACCCAGGCCTGAGTATAAGAGCTGGTAGATAACAGGGCACCTAGTGTTTTATTTCTTTATCCTCAACCCTGATCTTAATCCCAGCTTGGCCATTACCTTGCTGTGTGACCTTAGATAAGTCCCTTGCCCTCTTTGGGCCTCTCTTTCCTTGAAAACTTGGTTTACCTAAGTGGTCTTCATGATCACCTGGGAAACTTTTTTGGTTACAGATTCCTAAACCTCATTTCCAGAGATGTTGACTCCATAGGTCTTGGGGAAGGACTCCAGAATCCGAATTTTCTTTTTCTTCAGAGTGGGAGGTGGGGGAGGACCAGAGGGAGATGGAGAGAGAAGCTTGTAAGCAGGTTCCTTGTGCAGTGCAGAGCCCAACGCAGGGCTCGATCTCACGACCCTGAGACCATGACCTGAGCCAAAATCAAGAGTCTGACACTTAACCCACTGAGCCCCCCAAGTACCCCCAGAATCTGGATTTTTTTTTTTTTTAAAAGCTATTCAGTTGGTGGTGGTGTGCAGCCCCGGTTCCGGTGTCACTTACATTTCTTCAAACCTCAGCAAACGAATCCCCCCCAAAACCTGTTAAGAATGTAGATTCTTAAGCGCCCCTTGCAGACACTCCAACCAGTACATCTGGGACATTCCTTATGAGTCTCTAAATCAGCAGCAATGCCCATGAGGCAACAGGGAGTGGTGGGGACTGAGGTGAGCAGAAGCGTCCGTGCCCATCTACAGGGGCGGCTACCCCTCAGCTTCAGCCCGTCGTTCCTGTCTAGGAACATGGGCCTGGGGTTGCCAGGTCTTTTTCTGCTTAAATGGAAGCCAGAAGTTGTTTCTATGAACTCTGGTACCTTTTAACTGTTGCCAGCTAATTCAATTTTCAAACACTCTGCTGGACAACTGAAACATATCTGTGGGCTGTACTTGCCCTGGACCTCCAGCTAAATGATTTCTGAGATCTATCTCCGCTCTAAACATCCAGGAGGTCATTTATTTAATGGGCATTTAAATGACGCTGACTGTGTGCCCACCACTGCTTTAAGTGCTCTACAAACATTAATTCACACAGTCCCATCAAACCTCTCCTTATCTCCATGTTACGACGCGGACACTGAGGACAGAGATTAGTAAGTGTCAGAACTGGGATTTGGGTCCAAACAGGCCGGCGGCAGCGAGCCCTGCTCCCAAAACCCCAGCTTGCTGACGGCGCTCTTTATCCCCCACCCCGGAGCACAGCAGACAGCCAGGCCGACCTTCTTTGCCCGAAAATTTGAAGCCGTGGTGAATCAGGAAATCATCGGGCAGCTGGACTATTACCTGTACGGGAACTACCCCGCGGGCACCCCAGGCCTCCGCTCCTACTGGGAGAACGTGTACGACGAGCCGGACGGCACCCACAGCCTGAGTGACGTGGCACTTACCTTGTATCACGCCTTCGCCCGCCTGGGCCTCCGACGGGCCGAGTCGTCGCTGCACGTGTCGGGGGAGAGCAGCTGCCGGTGAGCCCGTGGGGGCGGCGAGGGGGCAGGGGAAGGGCAGGGCAGGATGGGCAGGCTCCGGGGTGCAGGAGGGGCACACAGCACGGGAAGGAGGGCGCCAGGGCCGGGGAGGGGGTAGTAGCGCGCTTCTCCCTGTCTTCCGTGACCTAAAAAGCATCCGAACCGTCCCAGTGGTCCGAGCTCCAGTCCGTCCACTCTAAGCCATGGTCCCACGACTACCCGTGCGGAACACCAGGGTGTCCCGTTTACCTGTGTCCTGGCGGTGCACGCGTTCTTCATGCTAAGTCTGTGTATCTGAGAAGGAAGCTTTCTGTCCCCATTAATTAGTCGTGTTTGCCTTAGATGGATGGGAACCATGAAAATACAGACCTTTGGTTTGTTTAATTTTTCTTACAGAGAATGTCAAATATATACAAAATAGTAGTAGTAGTAGTAGTACCCTCAACACCCAGTTCTAGCGATTTCTAGCTCCAGGCCCACTTAGCCCTCCTCCCAGATCAGTTTGGAGGAAGCAAAGCCCAGACGGCCTCTCATCTGAGCCACGAGTATTTTAATACATATCTCTGAAAAATAAAGGCTCCTTTCTAAAACACAGCCATACTGTGGTTGGCAAACCTAAAAATATAACCAGAAACATTGTTAAAATGCAGACCTATTATTTAAGACGTTCCAGGATCCCTTAGAGTCCTCTCACCCCCAACTAGCGGGTACCAGCTGACACTTTAAGAGTGTCCTAGAATGCACAGAAAGGAGAGGGGGACGTAGGACAGCAGTCCACCGTCACCCTCCACCCCGCCTTCCCTAAGCCAGCCAGCGAGCCCTCATCATCTTGTGTCCCTTTTCTTCCCTACAGCAGTATGCACTGCGGATATTTACATAATGCAGTAAGAATTTGAGTCCTTTTTTTTATTCGTTATAACATTAGCCCCCTTTCCCCACGCCGCTCTGCAGCTTCCCTAATGATGATGAGCCTCTTCCATGCCTGCAAGGATTCCGCTGCGTAGAAATTCCAGAGTTTGCCTAATCCAGTCCTTCCCTGTTGCATTGTCAGTAATGGATCATTGTAAACAATGCTCTGATGACCATCTTTGTGCAGAAGCCTCTTTCTTTTCCTTTCCTTCTCCTGATTATTTCCTTAGGATGGATTCCCAGAAGCGCCTCTAATCACTCTCCTCCTCTTGTTTTCCGTTCTCCTCTTTCTTTCTTTCTTTTTTTTTTTTTAAGATTTTATTTATTTATTTGACAGAGAGAGATCACACATAGAGAGAGAGGCAGAGACAGAGAGAGAGAGAGAGGGAAGCAGGCTCCCCGCTGAGCGGAGAGCCCGATGCGGGACTCGATCCCAGGACCCTGAGATCATGACCTGAGCCGAAGGCAGCGGCTTAACCCACTGAGCCACCCAGGCGCCGCCCGTTCTCCTCTTACAATAGCAAAGAGAAAACCTGTTTTGTTTTGTTTTGTTTGTTTTTTGAGCCACACTCTGTCTACACGGAGGCCTCCCCTGGTGTCCGTCCTTGCCCTCCTCTTCCCTCTTCTGGGGAGTGGACAGAGAAGAAAGAGGAACCATTTTGTTCCCTAAAAGCCTGAAAACACGGCAAAGTGTCTGGCCGGTGTCCAGTGCGTAGTCAGCCGGGCTGTGGGGCTACGGCAAGCCGGCTTCCACTCGTTCCGTCCTCCGGGCCTCGGACTTCTCCTCCTCTCCCGGCAGGTTCTAGTCTGGTTTGAAGGGAGACCAGGGCGAGTTAAGAAGCCAGGACTGTACTTTACTACCTGTTGACCTTGGACAAGCCATTAACCTCTCCGTGCCTCGCTCCCTCATCTGTAAGATGGGCGCAGTAGTAATAAGCCTAATTGCATACGGTGGTGTGGGTTTTAACAGAGACCGTCTTCAAACACTGCCGTATGAGTTACGTGTTACTGTTAGTGTCATCCCTGTGTTAACAGCGTTTTACATGCTAAGTGCTCAGTAAGTGCGCGTGTCCCTGTGGATGTCTCCGTTGTGCTACCGTGAAGTTGTCACAAGCAGTCAACAGTGAGAGCCGCGTTTGGGAACTGCACGCTCCCTGACCGCTGGTGTGAACTGATCCTCGACTGTCCCTGTTTCCCCTTGCTCTGCAGGGTCTCTGTGCAGCCCACCCTTCCCCACTCCTTAAAGGTCAGCTCCAGTGCCAAATCCTCTGGGAAGCTCCTGGGGCTCCCCTCCCAAGCTGAAAGGAGCTCAGACTTCCTCCAGCACTCCCATGGCGGCTAGCTGCAGTGCCAGGGGTCAAGGTCATCCACGAGTGTCTTTCCCTTCTGCTAGTCAGGGACAGAATCCTGGCCCGCAGAGCGACCGCGTGCATCGCTGTAGGTAACACGTGCCCCACGCTTGGGAGGTGAATGTTGTTCACGAACAGTTGTAGTCCCAGACTTTACAGAATTTATAAGGTAAATGACCATATATATGAAATTCCAAAAGACACCCCAATTTATTTAGGGTTGTTGAAAATTTCTTCTGGTATTTGTTTTGGGATTAAACAAGCCATCAAGTTGCCTGGGGCCTAGAAGCCTTTGGCTTCTACCTCATTTTTCATTATAATAGAACCATTGTGCCTTGCTGTGGGCAAAGCCGGTATATTTATGGATATGTGCCTGCAAATAAATCAGGACAAAGGACCCTTATCCCAAAACGCAAAAGAGTGAATTCCTGCCCCTGGGGTGTCTGGGGAGATAGCAAGGGAAAACTACTTCGAGAGGGAGTCTCACTTCCTCGGGGCATTTCATACAAATTGTCTTTCCAGTCTATAGTATATAACCTTTCGTAAAAATAATGTTTATTGATTTTTTTTCTCATTATAAAAATGGCAGACTGAGAGAACCAAAAAGAAAAAGGAAAAAAAAAAAACTTTGCTTTTAAGCCACCATCCAGAGATAAGGCTATCCATGTTTTAATACAGGGGCTCAAAGTCCTCAGATGCTGTCCCGGGCCAGGCAGGCAGCAGGGCTCACCCCTGCAGGGTGGGATGACTGGGCCAGTCTGGAGGCCCCATGGGCCCTGGTTCTGAGCTCCAGCACATTCTTGCTCTAAGGGAATTAGAGACTTGAAGCTGCCAACGGGTCTCCTGATTTTTCAAGAGAAATTAGAAGTCCAGATTTTGGGGTGAATCTGAGTTTTTCAGTGCCCACCTCATCTAGACGCCTTTGGGCCAAGTGGATGCATCTGTGGCAGCCTCTAGGTTACACTTTATTGTGGCGAATTAATTAAAACCACCTCTAGTCTACATTGTAATGGCTTAAGTGCTGTATCCGGTCAAGAGGAGGTATCAGAGGACTTTGCATTCAGTCCTGGGTGACCTGTGCCCTATGTGCACTTTAGAAGCAAAAGGTCCAAGAGGAAATCCTTCTAGATTTTCACGCAATCAGCATGTATTGATTGAGCATCTACCACGTGTCAGGCTCTGTTAGGCACTGGGTGCTTAGCCATGACCCAGACAGAGCAGGCCTCTGAGTTCAAGGCTTTCCTGTTCTAGTGTAAAGACAGGACCTAAGCACATGTAAGGAAAAACAAAAGATTGGTAAGAGTGAAGGCTTTGCCGAGGATGAAGGTAAAGCCACCCAATAGCAGTGAGTCAGTGACGTAAGATTCAGTGGTCAAGGAAGAACTCTCTTGGGACAGTGACATTGATGCAGAATGGTAATACACGGCCAGGCACACAACGGAAAAGGAGAAGAGCATCCCCAGCAAGGAGAATATCCTGTACAAAGGCCCTGAGGTAGAAATGAGCTTTTAGCATGTTCAAGAATCCAAAAGAAAATCCATGTGGCTGGGAGGTAGGAGTTTGGGGCAACGCGAACCAAAACAAGGCTAGAGGAAGAGGCAGGACTTTGTAGACAGGTGGGGCATTTAGATTTTACCACAAGCGTTAAGCAAACCACTTGTGGTATTCAAGCAGTGGACAGTGGATGTGGCTACTAGGAACAGGTGACAGCAGACAATGTAGGCGGGGACAAGTAAGGAAGGTCCTAGAAAGGTCCAGGTGAGGCACGATGGTGGCTTGGACCAGGGTTGTGGCGGTGCCTGAGGAGAGGAAAGGATGGAGGCAGGTGGGGACAACAGATTTCTTGACAGAAAAAGTAAGGGAAAGCAAGCCACCAGAGACTAACTCCTGGACTTCCAGAGTGCTTGACTTTGGCTCATTTACTTGACCTCTCAGCAGATCCCAACGCAACTGACCACTCCCTTCCGGAACCTTTCTTGTTTTGACTCCCATGACAAGCTCTCCTGCTTTTCATCCCCTGTCCCTTTCAGCCAGCGAGACTTGGGGTGTCAAAGGCATGTATCCTAATGAGCAACGTGTGTGTGCGTGCGTGTGTGTGTGTCTCAGATGGGCAGTAATTTTTAAGGATCAGACCCAATGCTGTTGGTGAGGACACTGGGAGCATGACTCAGTACATTTCTGATAAAGGTGGACAGCAGACATGAGAACCTGTCGGAGGGGAGAGAAGAGACGTCCTCCAAAATAGTTTTCTTCAAAGATGTTTAGTGGATTGTTTAGAAAAGCCAAAAAACATTGTTAAGCATCCAGTGATGAACTTGCTCTGTGAAATACGGCATGGCACACACTGGGGCGGGGTGTGTGCACACTCACCAAAATCGTGTTTTCGGAGACTTTTGAAAGGCATGCGATAATGCTCGGGGAATACTGTGAAGAAAAAGCAGGATATAACCAGTATGTATATCATGATCCCAAACGTGTAAGATTTATGCAAATATATGCATACAAAGTCGGGCTGAATTTGCATAGAAAATCAGGCTGAGAGGAGATCCATCACTGTGGCATCACTGGCCACCATTGTCCCTTCCTAGTACCTGGCACCAGAGGATCGATAAATATCCGTGAGCGGACATCCCCTAGGGAAAGAAGCATCAGAAGTAATAATTTTCACTTTCTTTATTGTGCTCTTGTACAGTCAGCAGGTTTACATTGATAATCACCAGGAAGTCGTTGGTGGTGGGATCTGAGCTACCCAGGGAGCAGCTTTCGGGGATGGTGCAAAGGCCCGTGGTCAGCGCTGGAGAAAATGGGGCCTGCGCGGGGCTGGGGGTCAGCAGGCGGTGCGCGTGGGGCTGTGAGCCTGCGCGCTGCAGGCCCCGCCCCCGGGCTCACGGGAGACTGTGTGTTCCAGGTACTACCCGATGGGCCACCCAGCGTCCGTCCACCTCTACTTCCTTGCGGACCGCTTCCAGGGCTTTTTGATCAAGCATCACGCTACTAATTTGGCTGTGAGCAAACTGGAGACCCTGGAGACGTGGGTGATGCCGAAGAAGGTCTTCAAGATCGCAAGCCCGCCCAGCGACTTTGGGAGGCTCCAGTTTTCCGAGGTGGGACGGCCGACACCCGCGCACTTCCATGGTCTTTTCCAGCGGCCCTTCTGGGTTCCATTGGCCAGTCTGATGCTTGGCGACGGAGAGGGAGGGGGAGGGGAACCAGAAGATAGCACGCCCTGCACCTAGGGAGGCTCCTCCAACCATGGGCACGGGCACGGGCACCGGCATCTTAAATGGGGCCAGGGGAGAGCGACACAGGGTGGCCAGTGTCTGCGGACCCAGTCGACCTGGAGCCGGGGTCTGTTTTTTACAGTAGAATCTGTACTTGTCATTTTTCATCCTGGCCAGTGACCCCTCTTCAGCCTGTGTTAGTCATAGATGAGAACAGACCAGTTTCCTAACGAAGCGATGGCATTAGTCCCCTTGTACAGATTGGAGAACTGAGGCCTCCGGAGGGCCAGGGACTTTTTGAGATCATAGCTAGGAAGTGGAAGAGCTCAAATGGAGCCCAGTCTCTCTGGCCACAAACCACATGCTTCCTGGTGCCTCTGTCTCCCCAGGTGCTAGCACCGGGCTTTATTCAGATCAGTCACTAAATGAATGAGAGGACGGATGGCTGGCCAGGTGGCCAGTGGACAGACAGACCAACCAGTGCACAGATCCCTGGGATGGAAGTGTAGTTTTTTTTTTAGCCCAGCACCACCCTTGTCACACCAGCCCCTGCAGACCTGGTCTCGAGGTCTCTTGGCAGGTGCTGTTCCGGCTGCCTAAAACACTTCCCTTCCTGTGTCCACATGGGCAGCTTTTTTTGGTCATTCTGAGCTAAATCCAAATGGTGCCCCCTCCGAGCAGCCCTCCCTGCCCACCCATGTATGCCCCAGAGCTCCAGTCTCCACTTGGCACCTGTCTTGTCATTTTTGCAGCATTTGCCGTGCAGAATCATCTTGTTGACTTCTCTTACCACTTGTCAGCTGTCCTCCAAAAAGCGGAGACTGTGTCCCTCTTGGTCACCGCTGCATTCCCTGCATATGGCATCTGGAGGTGCCACATACGATTTCCAAATGGCACGCACACTGTGGGGGAGGGGGTGCGATGCTGCAGGAAGGGAAGTCGGTCCAGCTTGAGGAGGGGTGGCTCCTACGGAACTCCAGCACCCGACTCCTGCCTTCCCCATCTCGGCCAGCAGCTGGAGGGGGTGATTGGTCCCCGGAGTGCAGCATTCCCCGTGAGTGTGGCTGCTGGGTTAGGGACGTGCAGTCAGTGTGGTTTTAGAACACGGAGTATCCTGAACGGCTAGGAGTGGGGTTGGAGGGGAGAACTGTTTCACCCGTTTCACGTTTTCAACTGTTTCACTGCTTTATGCAGTCCGTGCTAGTCCCTTCCCAGCTGCCCATGGCTCCAGCTGGCCCAGCTCTGCCCTATGGAGTGGAGTGGGGTTTCTTGTGAAGCCACCATTTTCAATTTTCAATGAAGGATCCAAGTGGATTGGCGGGATCCAAGGTGCCATGGGAGCTGCCTCCATGAATGACCAGTGTCAGGGGCAGTCAGACAGCAGCCCCGTTGGATTCCGCGCTGGGGCCCCAGGTGGCCAGTTGAAGACATTAACGTCCCATTAACGAGATGGATGCCGGGTGGCTGGGCGCTCCCTGTTGATCAGCCAGCTGTTGGGTCACGGGGCACTTCTGGCAGTGACAGATGAGGGTGGCCACTCTGTGGCTCGTGATTTGTGAGGGTTCCTACTGTGGGGCTGGCAACTTTGATGTGAGAACCGTCCAGGTCTCTGGCAGAGTACCAGCAGGCACGTAGCCCCGAATTTTGTACTTCGCATTTTTTTCTGAAGTCCTAGTAGTTTTTAAGGACAAACACTGTCACATCAGACAAGAGGGAAGGGAAGAACCACAGGGGATCCCCTCGTGGTGGCGTGGCCCAGGAGCCTGGCTTTGAGCAGGTGGCCAGTGTCACTGAGTGGTCAGATGGATTTCTCCATCCCACGGGAGTCCCATGCTAGTGGCTTGCAGGAAAGATGTTCATGATGTACTGGGAGCAGGAGAGGTCATGGTGAACTACACAGTCCAGGCTCTTGTTGCCATGGAATTGTAGTTCAGGTGGGGCAGTCAGCCTGTGAATGAGCAAATACATGAACAAAAGCATTTCAGCTAATGGCAAGTATTTTAAAGAACATCAAACTTCATTCCTGTCTTTGCTGAGGGTTGAAGAGGCCAATGGGGACTACTTTCAATGGGGTGATTCATTTGGGAAGCTGTAAAAGAGCCGGTGACAGGGAGAGCTGGGGCAGTCTGAGAGAAGAGAGCGAGAAGAGCATGTGCAAATGAGGCTCTGGGAAGCATCTGGGCACACGCAAGGAGCAACAAGGCCTGTGTGGCTGGAGCATACTGAGAGGGAAGGCAGTGGAAAAGCGGTCTAAGGGAATGGTGCAGATTGTGAGCGAGCTTGAAGGCCCAGGAGAAAAGCTCAGGTTGTATTTTCAACACAGTGAGAGACTTTTAGTGGGTTTGAAGTTGGGGAGCAACGTGGTGACCTTGAACATGGTCATGATGTGATTAGTGATAATTGTGTAGTAAGTGGCTGTGGACTTGCCGTGAGAAGATCTGTGAGAAGATCTCAAAGCCCCAGAGGGTGTGACAGCATCTGGGCCCCCCCACTTCAGGCAGCCCCAGCCCTGCTCTCGCTTGGGGGTGGCAGTGAGCCTTCCGCTCACTCTCCTAGTATTGGAAATGAGATCCAGCTTCTCTGCTCCCAGCTGCTCTACCCAGCTTCCACCTGGGCTGTCTCGCTTTTAGAGCTCAGACCTCAGAGAATTGCCAAGGATACTGTTGCCAAGTGTCCTCCCCTAACTGGTCACAGAGCCCTTCTTTAAGAAGGAGCCCTCATTTTGTGACCATTCCTCCACTTGTTAGTATCTGTGGGAAGCCATTGTGTGCAGGGGATGTCCACAGGGGATGGACCTTGGGCACAGGGATGTCCATGTGCTCAGCCCCTAATCGTTCATGATGCGTCTAGCGGGTGGGTGGACAGATGGAAGGAGAGACTGAGCACCCGCCACGTGCTCAGCGTGCTTTAGGCATTAGAGATACTAGAGATCCAGGGGTCAACCAGCCAGATGCAGTCCCTCTCCTCATGGAGTGGACCGTCCTGAGTGAAGGAAAGGGACAGCATAAATTCAGAGTTGTAATACCGCACACAGAAAAGCCCGCCGTGGGCGAATCCTCAGAGAAGCACCTCCATGGTGCCTGTAACTGGGGAAGGCTCCCGAGTGGAGGCAACACCTTGGCTGAGCTCTGCCCGAGGAGCAGGAGCTGGCCGGGAAGAGGGTGGGAAAAGGAAGATTGTCCCAGCCCGAAGGCCAGGATCTAACGGAGGGTCAGAGACGAGAGCGCACCGCCCGCACGGACGTGCCGGAGCAGGGGTGAGTGGAGAGGAGGAGGAAGGGTTGAGATGAAGCGGGACCGAAAGGGACCGGACCTCACAGGATGAGGTGACAGAGACCAGGCTTGAGAATCCTGAGGTGCTGAAGAGGGTTGCAGGTAGGGAAGGGACGGGACTGGGTGGTCTCAGCGACCTCACCAAGACTCGGAGGCCGTAGCTGGAATCCTGCTCACGCCCGCGTGCATTTCTTCGCTCAGTCCTGTCCGGTCCCTTCCTGCCGTGAGGCCGCCGGCCCCAGGGGGCCCCTGCGGAAACGTTCATGCAGTCCCTGCCTCGGCCCCCTCCCTGGGACAGCTGCTGCGTCCCCGTCTGAAATCGGTTGTCTAAAGACGGACCACGGAGCGCACCATGGGGCCCCGGGGGACAGCAGGCGCCGGGCTCATTGGCGTCAGATGAACGAGAGGTTGACACGAAAGAGTGGGTGAGAACACAGCCTCTGGGGGCCCCTCACCGGCCACGGCAGGGGACCTGCGTGCTCTGAGCCTCGGTGTTCTCATCTGTGACGTGAGGACGATGACGGGGTCCCCCTTCGCGGAGCTGAGCGAGTCACGTGGGCCGGTGCCTCGAAGCGCTCGGCGCTGTGCCAGCCCCACGGTAAGCACGGGGTGAAGCGGGCCCCAGAGAAAGAACGGACGCGGGAGTTCACAGCAAGAACGGAGCGTCAGCCACCCCCGCTGGCTCCGTACGGAGGCCCCCGTACCCCGACCTGCGCACACGCACCTGGGAGGCTGGTCGTGGAGAGACCACGGGAACAGGCGAGCCTTCGAGTGTGTTCGTCATCAGCTGCCCGTGTGCCCGCGTGTGCTGGGTCTTCAGAAACACTGAATGAAACCTCCTGGGCGACCAGACCCCTCGTGTAAACTGGTGGAAAGGGGTGGCAGAGCTCAGTATTGGGGCCCGGAGTGGTCCGATCGTTTCTGTCGAGTCTTTCACTCGCTGATTCCACGGATACGGAGCCCTGCTGTGTGCCAGGCATCGTGCTAGGCACCTGCAAAGCTCCGTGACGCCAGCCGTGGGGGCACTGAGTGGTGAGAGGACGATTCACAAGGTCTTCCTGGCTCCTGGCCGGACGTACGCTGCAGACAAGCCACGAGCAGACTCCCAGCAAGTCAGAGACATGCACGCCGGCCGGCAGGAAGGATGGCTCTTACGGGCACCCCCACCCCGAGGTCTAGCTCTGAGTGCTGTAGGGAGGGCACAACTAGGTCTTCCTAGGAAAGCCATGTGGACTCCTGCCCATGATAGGAGGGGCAGAGGGAGCCTCGTAGTTCAGAACATCACACAAAATGCCGGTACCCGAAGGCTGCACACTAGCTGTACAGCATTCGTTCGTTCATTCGGTGCATGTGGTAGGTTTTCTTTCTGAAGCACTAACCCTGTGTCAGGCCCACGAGCCCTAAGGGTTAATGAATGGACCACAGGCCTTGTAATCCCCCAGACCAGGTCCTAATCCCAGATCTTCTGCTTACTAGTGCGTGCAGTCTTGGGCAGGTGACTTCTGGGAGCCTCAGTTTCTTCATCTGTAAAATGGGTGTATGCCGTGTTACAAGCAGGATTTGAGGTCTCTCCGGGACCTGTGAATTGAGGTCTCGCTCTCGTTTCAGGTCGGCACTGACTGGGATGCCAAGGAGCGGCTCTTCCGCAACTTCGGGGGTCTCCTGGGGCCCATGGACGAGCCCGTAGGCATGCAGAAATGGGGGAAGGGCCCCAACGTCACCGTGACTGTCATCTGGGTGGACCCTGTCAACATCATCGCAGCCACCTATGACATCCTGATTGAATCCACTGCCGAGTTCACCCACTACAAGCCCCCTTTGAACTTGCCCCTGAGGCCTGGGGTCTGGACAGTGAAAATTCTTCACCACTGGGTGCCGGTCGCAGAGACCAAATTCCTCGTTGCTCCGCTGACCTTCTCCAACAGGCAGCCTATCAAACCAGGTGAGTACTCCCGGCGTCTCTGCGGGGGAGATATTCCATCCTGGGGGTCCCTGGGGTCCTCCTCCTCAGGGCTGTGCTGCTCACATGCGGGGCACGGAGGCTGCCTCGGAGAACAGTGCTCTCCACTCTGTACGTCCCCCTGCCTGTTTGCATAGAGGACCTTCTCGTTTTCCACTTGTACGCTGAGGTGACGTCATCTCTTAGATATCTCATTATGACCTGCTCTCCCACTGGACTTCCAGAAAGCCCTGATCATATTTAAGACAAGAAGGGAAACAGACCCAGGCAGATACTGAGTGAAACTCAGTATCTTACTTTTTAAAAAATAGTAATTAAAGTAGGAGCCACACACGTTCATTGACAGACCGTTCATGGTTTCCTTGGGACCAAAATGACAGCGCTGAGGAATTGTGACACAGATTGCATGGCCCACAAATCCAAAATTATTATCTGGCCCTTTGTAAAAAAAAAAAAAAAAAAGAAAGAAAGGATTGCCAACTCCTGCTACAAAGGAGAGAGAGAAAAAAGAACATAAATGGCCCACACACACATAAAAGGCTGCTCAGCCTCATGAATAATGAGAGAAATGCAAATGGAAAGCAAAAAGAGGTCCCACTTCACACTACCGCTGAGAAATGTTCCGAGGTTGGACAGTATCGTACGGCAGAAGGCCGGAGGACAGCTGTCCATCTCCTGCCGGCGGGGACGCAAAGTGATAAAGCAGGTTTGGAAAATGGCTTAGCACAGCCCCCGTGCCACACAGAAGTCCCAGGGCTCCGTGGATGCCCCCACAGACCTGTAGACCTGTGCAGACCCAGAGCAGAATTGTTCCTAATGGCACCAAACCAGGAGCGGCCCCGAGGCCCTCGTTCAGACGCTGGACGCCGGTGAGGTCTGTCCAGACAGCGGAGCTCGGCGTGGCCGGCAACACCAGCGCCGCTCGGCTCCACGCGCTGATTTGGGTGAGTCTCCACAGCGTGACGTTGATGGGGGCAGGTCACCAGAGAAGTCGAAATGAGCGTACACATGTTTAAAGTTCAGAAGCAGGCCAGGCCAGCAGTTCCTGACTTCAGGATTCTCGTGTTCGTAGAAACCCGTGAGGAAAAGAGTCCTTGGTGCGAAATCAGGGTGGTGTTTCCCACTGGGCAGGGAGGGCCGGGAGAGAGGCATGTCGGCGCCCACCGCCTTTTTCTCTTCTCACCCGAAGAGTTTACTTCTATTTTTCTGGGTCCTCCTCTGATCACTGGGAACGTCTTCCTCCCCACTTAGTCCTACCTCCCAGGGGAACCGCCATCAAAACTTTGGTGTTCATCCTTCTAGTGGTTTCTGGAGGCTTCCAAAGCATAAACATGAACACACAACGTAAGTCACACATGGCTGATTTTTGAAAATGGAGTGATACGTTCTGTCATGAAACTTGCTCTTTGGACTTGTCCGAGTTCGTGTGTCTGAAGCTTACCTGTTTGTTCCTATTCCGTTGGGTTAAGGACCCAGAATCCATCTGTCCCCCACTGAGCACACACAGCTTCTTCCGTTGGTGGTGGTGTTATGGACAACAGTGCAAAGATTTTTGAATCTCAGATTGTCTGTGCCCATACAGATTCAGCCCTAAACAGTTTCCTAGAAACAGGATTTCTGGGTCTCTTGGTATTTGGAACTGTTTGTCTACACGTAACAGAAACCCAGAAGCCAAAAACACCTTACAGCCTCCATTAGGCAAAAAGAGTTCTGGGCTGGGTGCCATTTAGCTAGTGACGCAAGGAGAGGGGGACAAAGACATGGGGAGGGGCTGCCTGGAATTCGAACAGGGGGTGGGGGGCGGGTGGGACGTGAACTCTGTTGGCCTCTGCTAAGTTTCTGGGCTGAGCAAGCAGAAAGATACCTCATGTTTTCTCAAGAAGGAAGTCTGCTCCCCCTTCTCCCCTGGGAAACAGCCAAAAGACAGCCCCTCCCGTACCAGCTGGGCCAGCCCTCAAGTGCTCTCCAGTGAGGTTCCCATCCTTAGCATCCCTGAGACTTCCCCAAGCCAGACGTGGAGGAGAGGGATAGAAATAACCTTCTCCTCTTCGCTCCAGATACACCTGTCAGACGGAACAAAGGAGCCGTCCTCCACTCCAGGGGGGGAGAAAACCCCGGGGCCATTCACCGGGTCCTGATTTTTCCAGTTTTTTTTTTCTCTCTCCTTGGAGTTTCTGAAGATGGCAAGGCTCTTCCTACCCCTGCCCAGGATGAGCCGGGGGTCATCTTACCCCGCTGGGAGCAGCCCCCCTCCGCCGTCGGTGACTGTGTCTGTTAACGATGTTCCAGTGACAGGGAACATGAAAGTGGGAGCGATGCAATTTGTAAAATGATTCGTCAAGAGTAATTTACTATCGATGCGTCCCTGGTAATCTCAAGAAATCTGATGAGGTGGAATTGAGGAAAATTTAATTATAGAGGCGAGCATCACAGGCTGGTGCCGTAATAGCATTTCCCACATTAACCTCATTTTTCATAAGGGTTTTCTGCATCAGCCACAATATTTGGTCCCCAGCGTTGCGATGCTTGTTAGCTGCTCTTTTCTCTTTGTGCGGCCAGCCTTCTGTGGCCTCGGGTAGCTCCCCACTGCCAGCTCTGCCGATGTGGAGGGTCTGAGAGGCTACCTGATGGACGAGGCAGAACCTGCTCGAGAAGGAAGAGGTTCCGTCCTCAGACAGGCGGTCCGGGAGCTGCCCACACCCCTGCCAGCATCCGGGAGAGGCGGGCTGGGGCCCGGTTTAGAAAGCATGTTGTTCATTCCACTAGGGCGGGTGCATGGTCTTTCCTCCTCTTCCTCAAACCCCACTCAGGACCGCACACACTCGAAAACAGTGTGCGGATTATCGGAGCTGTCCTGGTTGCCCCCGAGGGGGACAGCCACCGTCCGGGGAACGGGAAGTGTTTCTGAACGCCACACTGTCCCACGAGCCCTCGCTCTCTCACCCGAGCCACAGCTGACTGGCCGAAACCCAGGCTCACCCGGATCGGTGGCCGGTAGGTTTTTACAATCTCTTCTTGTGTTTGGCAATGAAAGAGGCAGTAGGAGGGAACTTCTCCACAACAGCTAGCTTTTTTGCGTCAGCCCAGATGTGTGCACTTCCTGCTTCCCCCATCAGCCCTAGGAAGTAGACTGGACTCGGCCGGTCCCGGGCTTAACCCCAGATGGGTCCGGCGAGATAGCCATCCGTTTCCCCATCTGCAAAATGGGTATCATAACGCCAGCCCATGGCTCTGTGCATGTACAGGGTTGAATACTAATGACGCCAGCCGTAACAATTCCGGCTGTACTTCTCCAAGCATCAGTCTTTGCCGGGCGCCGTCTGCGTGTGTGCGCAGGACAGGTCACGTGCGGTCGTGCATAGTTTCGGGCACACGACGCCGTGACTCAGCAACTCCTCACACCCCAGCGCTCCGCGCGCGCGTGCTCCAAACGCCCGTCACCTCTCGCGCCCCTCCTGCCGCCACCTCTCCTCTGGCAACTATCCGGTTCGCTGCATCTAAGAGTCTGTTTCTTAAACGCCACATGAGTGAGATCCTACAGTATTTGTCTTTCACTTAATTCCATTAGCATTAGCTCCTCTGTCTCTGTCCACGTTGATGTTAGATGCAAGGTCCCGTTCTGGTTTGTACGGAGTCCTGTTACCCTGTACCTGTCCCACTGTCTACACCACATCTTCTTTACCCGCTCAGCTGTGAGGGACCCTTGGGCCGCCTCCGTAGCTGGCTGTTGTCAACAACATCGCAGTCAACCTCGGGGTGCGCACGTGTTCACGGGTTAGCGCGTCCACAGTCTCGGGGGAACACCCAGTAGCGGTGGCCGGAGCCTGGGGGCGCTCGTTCGGAACCACCCGAGGCCCCTGCACACCGTCTTCCACGGCGAGCTCGCGTCCCCACCAGCCGTGTGCGAGGGTCCCCCCTGCTCCGCGTCTTTGCCGACACTGGTTGCTTCTTGTCTCTCGAGTTCTCGCGGTTCTGACAGGTGGGAGGCGGGACCCTGCCGTTCTGGTCTGTGCGTCCCTGATGCTGAGTGACGGTGAGCGTCTTTCCGTGTGTCTGCTGGCCACCTGGATAGCGCCTGCCCACTTCCAGCTGGATTATTGGGGTTTTGTGTCGAGTGGTGGAGGTTAGCTTGGACACTAACGCCAGGCGCCACTGTAAGCACTTAACAGGAATCAGCACAGGGACCGTCACCGAGCTCTGAGGTACTGCACTCCTCTGACGGTCCTGGAAAGCAGGCACCCGGCGTTGACATCCGAAGCCACACACCAGGGACATGAGCCCTGGGGACCCTGACCCGGGAGCCCCGGCAGCCGCCCACGGGCTCACACGGGAGGTGCTGCTCGGCAGAGCCGGGCTGGTAAGAGCCGGTGGAGGTGCATCCACAGACCCAGACTCCAGCCTTGGCTCCGACTCTCATTAGCTCTGTGATTTGCAGAAAGTCCTCTAATGAGGCTTTGCTTCTGCCCAGAATTCCGTTTGCCATGATCTGCTTGCGGCTTCCCCGGTCTCATTAACCAGCACTCAGCTCAGGAGGCACCTCTGCGAGGTCTCCCTTACCCCCTCACACAAAATAAACATCCTCCGTCCTTTCTGGCTCCGGGGGGGCAGCAAGCTTTTACTGTAAAGGGCCACACAGTAAAGCTTCCCTGCTTTGCGGACCACACACGGTCTCTGTCTCAAGGGCTTCGCAGCGCATCGGCGGCAGAGCTGGCCGCAGACAGCGGGTCCGCCAGGAGGCGCGGCTTGTGTCCCGGCGCTACTTGATTTACTGCACCCGGTGGGCCACCCTTGGCCCGAGGGCCGCAGCGTGCGCAGCCCTTGCGCTGGGTCCCGTCCCCCCCCCCACCCGGTGCAGTCCCCCCAGGTTCCTGAACACCGGGTACAACGACCTGCTCTAGGGCTCGTCCTCCGTCTCCCCGCGCAGGGCTGTAGTCTTACATCCGCTCACTCCAGGGGGTGGAGCGGGGCCTGGCCTGGCCTTGTAGCTTCGTCCAGTGAATGAAGGAATGCCTGGAAGAGGGAGTTTTAGCAAGTATGTGTTGAACGAATGCCTTGGACCAAGTCGGTGCTGAAAATGTCGTGCGTGAATGAATGGATGGACGGTCTGGACTGCTCTGGGGACAGACGAGTGGACGGTGCCCTGCACCGGGGGGCTCATGGGTGTGGGAGGAGTGTCCCTGCAGGCCGGGTCCTCGTCTATGCGGCGGGGCTGCGGCCACCGTGCAGGCTAGTGTCCCCCAACAGCCATGAGGCCCGCGGGCGGTGCCTGCTCGGGGACTCTCCTGACCCGCTCCTCCTTCTCTGTGGCTTTCAGAGGAGGCGTTGAAGCTGCACAACGGGCCCCCGCGCAGCGCCTACATGGAGCAGAGCTTCCAGAGCCTGAACCCCGTCCTCAGCCTGCCCGTCAGCCCGGCCCAGGTGGAGCAGGCCCGGCGGAACGCGGCCTCCACGGGCGCAGGACTGGAGCGCTGGCTGGACTCGCTGGTGGGGGGCATGTGGACCGCCATGGACGTCTGCGCCGCGGGCCCCACGGCCTGCCCAGTCATGCAGACCTGCAGCCAGACCGCCTGGAGCTCCTTCAGCCCCGACCCCAAGTCCGAGCTGGGAGCTGTCAAACCCGATGGCCGGCTCAGGTAGCACCGGGCGCGTGCGGGCCCCAGCGGATGTCCGAGGGAAAGCAGCCCGAGGGCTGGTGGCGCCCGGACCCCGGCCCCCTGCTGCCAGGGTGCCTTTTGTGAGAGGGGCTCCCCCGGCTACAGAACGATGGACAGGAAGGTGCGGAGGTCAAGGCAGCTCCTGCCAACAACCTGGCCCCCTCCCCCCCCGGCTCTGGGGGGCGAGGAGTGCGCAGTCCCGGGGCCGTGGTGGTCTTACCTCTTCTGGTTGGCCCTCGAAGCCTCCAGATTCCTTGTCCTCCCCCGCGGTGATGCAGTCCCCCCAGTCAAGTGATTCTCCAACTTTTCTTTTGAGCAGAATTCTGTTTACGAAGCGCAGTTGGAGGTACAAGTTCAAGGTGTGGTTGACATCCGGGCTGCTGGGGTTGAAGCTGGGGAGGGTGAGGTTCTTTGTCAAAGCTCAGCCTTTGCCCAGGGCGCCTCCTGAGGCTCCTCCCGAACCCAAGAGCTCCACAGAACCCCTTGTGAAGAGCACTGCCCAGACCCTGGGCATGACCTCCAGCCCTGCCCTGAGGCTCATCTTCCCGCCCTTGGAGGGGAAGGGCACTGGGTGAGCCTTCCACCAGCCCTTCTCCGGCCTCCTTCCTAGCTAGATGAGCAGGAGAGCTTTTTGATGGGACGTGGCCGAGGTTCCCCGCCGTCTGCGTTCCATGCCAGCCTCGCTCCCAGACTGCCCCACGAGGCTACAGAAAGGCTATGAGGCTCAGGTATGCGAGCATCTGTGCAGGGGCTGGGAGACCAAGACCCTGACCTCGTGGGTCTTGGACAAGGAGAACTCTGGGGCCTGTGGCCATGAAACTCAGATGGTTGGGACCCGACTCCTGAGCCGGATAGCCTAGCAATACCCGTCCCAGCCTGAGGCCTTCTGCACGGAGGTGAAGCCCACCCAACCTTGGGAATGGTCCCCCCACCCCACCCTCATTCCGGAGCGGGAGTTGGGGAGGGACCAGGCTTCTCGCCTCTAGGACAGGCATTTCAGATTTGGTGTTCAAATTCACGCCCTTCTCAGAGGTGCCAGTGGGCCCCTCTGCTGTGCAGCGGGAAAGCTGGAAGCTTGAGCGTCCAATCGGCTCAAACCTCAACAACAGCGTTCTTCCAAGTGCTTGAGTTGCCAGATCCCTGCACCGTGACCTTGCTGTGTGCCTCGGAGGGCCAGCCCCGCTCCGCTGGAAAACCCAGCCTAAGGCCCCTTCCTTCTCCGATTGCAGCCCCCACTCCCCCCAGGAGAGGCTTTCCTTGGCCAAGGCCGACCCCAGCTTCCAACTGTCCTGCCCCGGGGAGCCCGTCCTCGTGTTCCCGGGCAGCGCGGGTGTGAAGGTACCGCAGCACCCCCACCCCCGACCCCCACCCTGCGCTCACCCCAGAGCCCATGCCCTGCCCGGCCGCATGTTCTGTGAGCCACGGAGGGGCCGGAGGAGGGACACTTTCAGTATTTATTATTTATGTTTTAGTCAATGACTAATGAGTAGGTGCTGCTTTTGCAGCTGGTCAGTTACGTCTCTTACTAACTGAAGCTGCCTTCATTCACGAAAGGCCCCCCCCCCTTCCCCACCCTCCCTGCCTCCCTCTCCATCCCCGGTGTGTCTCTCTCCTGTCTGCTCTGCATTCTTCATGCCCTCAGAGGAAAGCCGGGGTGTTGGACATCACGAGGAGAACGCTTGCACCAGCATCTGCTGGCCGAAAGCAGGGTCCCCCTGGGGACCCTGGAGCCTTACCTTTTGCTCAGGCAGGGTGGGAGCCTCGGCAGGTCCTCCGGTCCTGGGGGGGTTGGAATTCCTGAGCCATTCCCGCTGCAGAGCCTACCTCTGAGCCTGGGAGGCAGAGAGAGCCACTGCAGCAGGAGGGGGCGTGGTCAGATGAGCCCAGAGCTACCCATGTCACAGGGGCTCCGGGGACCTCAGGGGCGCTTGCTGAGAAAGGGCGGATCGTGGCTCAATGAACGTGCAGACTCTAGGTGCCCAGAAGCCTGGGTTGCCGCCACCTTCTGCCCTAGCCCACCCAGGGAGCCTTCCTCGTCACCCTCCTCGCCAGGAGTCCCGTGGTTTCCACGGTGTCCTGTGCAGGGCTCAGGCCTGGGTCCAGTGTCCCTGCAGACCCCTCCCTGGGGCCCACCTGCACCCACCGACATGGCTCATCCTCACTCCCAGAACCAGCAGAGAAGGTCTACTCTGGGCACGATCCCCACCCGCCCCCTGCTCACGGCAAGGAAGTCAGCCAGTCCTACCCAATGTTTCTTTAAAGACTTCTGTTTTCTGACCAGGGTATAACTTTGCTATTAAAAAAAAAAAGGATTCCAAACAAAGGCCAGGAGGATTGGCGAGAAGGTGAGGTTTTCCCCGGGGACACATTAACAGCTACACTGTATCTGCCTGAGAGGGAGGGAGTCCTGAAAGGCCACTGGGTCAGGCAGCCAGGAGCTCGGGCTATTGGACCCAAGCACAGGAGACAAACCCTAGTGACAGCCTGAAGTCCCGCCCTGGCTCACCGGCTGGGTGCCTGGGGGCAGCCTGGGTAGAAGGAAGCATTCAGGAGGCTGTACACCCCCTGTGATGTCCCAGCCAACCTGTCCAGGGACGCTCGGGTGGCAGCCTGTCTGCCTGAGTCCCACGGCCCAGGTCAGGCACAAGCAGTCTCCCTCGAGGACAGGAACAGTGCCCAGACCCCATGTTTAAGAAGGAGGCCCTTTCCTCGCTTTGGAAAAAGACCTTTCTGGTCAGATCACGAGTCCTCCCAGCTTCATTTCCCCCTTGCTAGTTTAACGTCTCAGAGGCCAGTGCACTCAGGACGATCAGGCCCCCACAAGCCCCCACAAAGCGACTGCAGCTCCTGAGCACATCCTCAGTTGGGCGGACAGGCTGCCTCCCGGCTCCCGGTTTACAGGTACAAGGACGACACAGGCTGGAACCTCCATCTCTTTGCCAGGGAGGTGCCCAGTAGAGACAAGGAGCTGCGGGAGGTAGGGCTTTACTCAAGACGGCCTACACAGCCAAGCCCACCGGGGACTCAGGACACAAGCACTCAAGGGGGGCGGGCATACTAGGCACAGCTGTTGGCCAGGCCCTGCCAGGTCAAAGCCACACTCTAGGGTAGGGGTAGCCAACACTAATAGGCTTGGCGTGAGACAGGAGGGAGTGGTGGGCTGCACGGCCCATCCAAAGACAGCATCTCGGCTGTCCGTGAGCCTGCAGAATCTTCCCATTTGGTAAAGGAAGCCAGAGATCCAGATTTCCGTAGGAAATTTGACTATTAAGTGGCAGCAGTGGGTTTTTTTGGTTCTGAGTGTGGGCCAGGAGCAATTCCACAGTTCATCCATCCTGTGCATGGCCAGCCACCCCTGCTCGCAGGAGATGGTTTACCAAGAGATCAGGCCATGCCCTGATGGAGGAAATGAGCCACCAGTAGGAAGGGGCAAAAATTCTAGCTCTTTTCGCGGATCCTGCGGAAGGGAGAACAGGAGCCTCTTACCTGTCATTCCACCCGGGAGAGACGGTCCCGCGGAGAGGTGTCCCAGGAGAACTGGCTTGGGAAGGGGTCCTGGTCCCAAGATGGTGCTTAAAAAAAAAAAGAAGAAAAAGAATTTATAGACACGTCCTAAGGAAGCCCACACCTTCCAGAATTCCGCCAGCCCAGGGGGAGGTGAGGAGGGCGGTCTGGGAAGGAGGGGTGTATCCAACAGCCCCGCCTCGCTCCAAGTCCCGGGTCCGAGCAGCCATCTTGGCACCCATTTGGGACGCCTTGTCCGAGCTGTGCTGACCCCCGGACGCCCTCCTCGGCTCGGGCACCTTACTCTGCCCATGGGTCTCACACAGGCGCTACCTCATCGTGTCTGCTGAGAAGTTTACGGGGGGTGGGGGGCTAATTATGTGTCCCAAACGTGCTGGGTTGAACATACAATCTATGCAAATTTCTCTCCCTCTGTTTCCCTCTCTGTGACGGTTTCTCTCTCTTTCTGAAGTTTGGTTCTTTTTCTGTTTCGGGTGACCCGGCCAACCAGATACTGTACAGACCCCGCTTAGGACCAGGGAGGGCTTTCATGCGCCGCCTGTGTCTGCCCCTCACACTGTCTTTGGTTCTGTCCTCCCCAAGCCCCACGCAGGGAACATGCCGCCCTCCCCGCCCCACCCCTCCCTCCTGCCAGGAACACTCCCCCCGCCCCCACCCCGCAGCCCCCAGGAGAGCAGGTTCTGCCACCCCACGCGCCCCACCTCTGCAACATCCTTCATTTCACTCCCACCTGCTTTGCCTCCCCTGCTCCCCCCCACCCCCAAAAGCCTTAGGTTTCTCCTTTTTGAAATGTGGCCTTAACATTATTTTTGGAAAGCTGACTGCCCTCTCCCTCCGACCTCCACCAACATGCTGGAAGCGAGCATCCTGGCGCTCTCACGGCAGCCGCCTCCACCAGGGGCTGCCCCTCTGCAGGCTGCAGACGCTACAGAAATGGCTTCTACGTGTCGTCTTTAAAAAAAACACCCTCCTGTCGTTCCTCTGGGTAAAACGAAGGCTGGGGCGTTCCCGCCGGGCCAGCGTCTGCCCCCTGGTGCAGCATGCTGTCGCTGTCGCTGTCGAGCACACTGCCGAGGCCCCGGGTGGCTTCCGTCCCCGCCGGGGGTGAGCACCTGCACCCCTGTCCCCCCGCCCCCCCGAGGCTTGGGGACTTGAGGGACTTCATCCAGGGGTAAATCAGGAGAGTTTCTCTATTTCCCTCTCCGTCCTTCCTGCCTGGAAAGGGAGAGCGTTCAGTATTCCCAGCGGATGGGTCCTGTTCTCAGAGGGATCACACTCCCGAGGTCCGTCGCTCCAGGTCCCGTCGGAGGCCAAAGACAACCCCCCAGGGTTTCCGCAGGAAATTCACTGGAATTGAGCGCAACCGTCCTTAGAGTCCTTTCACCGTCGTCTTTTTTGTTTTTAATATTATGTTGTCAGTAGTGTCCGTTTTGGGTATTTTTAGAGGCCTCACAATAAGTTATTACTGTCCACCCATTTTTTTTTTCAAAGACATGTGGTGATATAGTTTTTAAAAATAACTATTTTGTTATAGATCATGATATGCATAAAACTGTACAGAACTATTTTGTAATGTATTGATTTAAAAAAAATCTGTAAATAAAGTTAAAAAAAAAGAATTCCAATGGCACACACTGGAAGATGTAGATATTTTGCTATTTATTCAAAGGAGTATTTTAAAAGAGATTGAACTATCTGAAATTGACCAGTCATCAAAGTTTCGGTCCTACGAACGCTTTCCCTCGAGGCAGCCCGTGTCTCTCGGAAGCGATTGCACTAGCCGCTCATTTTTTGCACCTTTTCTGTATCTTCATTTAGCAGAAAAACAACAAAATTGTGCCTTAGCTGTATTTTTTTTTGTCTAGGGGAGTTTGTTTGTCTGACAAAGCAAAATTTTTTGCAGAAACCAGTGGATGTATTAAATCCTGTATCATACCAAAAACACTGCAGGTGTATAGCGATGCTTTCTGTCATACTGTGTTTTCAGATGCAGAATTTTAAAATTAAAAAAAAAATACTGTCTTTATGGAACAGTGGCTGTATGGCTTCTCTTCAGCAGTATCCTGCATCTTCACGAAATCCGGTGCGCTCTTCCTGCCTCCGTTGGCTGATTATTGAATCCATCATCCGAACGAGGGATGGAATGCCCGGACCCCAGGACCGAGCTGGGGCTCCCGGGAAAAACTGGAGGTCTGGACGCACTCCCTGATCCAGCCCGCAGCCCTCACTCAGTGACATTACTGCGGGACCCTCCTGCACACGGTTCCCCTGGTTGAGGTGAAAGTGCGTGGTTTCAGAGTCTTGGGTAATTCAAGGCCAGCCGGGAAGGACTGCCATTAAAGCAGCGAATGGTTCTCTCTGCCCAGCGGGCTGGTCGTGTAGCCAGCGTGTTTCCTCCTCACCTCACAGCTAGACCACGTTTCCCAGATGTCCTCGCGCCTAGCTGTGGCCTTGTGGCCAACCTCTGGCCCGTGAAATGTGGGTGGGAGGGACTCAGGGCACTCGAAGACCCGGCCCAAAAAATTTCCAGCGCCAAGTTTTCGAATCATCGTGATTTGGAGCATTGGTGAGTCGCTCTGCTCTACTCTTCTGGGAAACCTCACAAAGCTGGCAGTTTAAAGGTGGGCGGGGCCCCAGCAGGGAAGGAGCCAGGCCCCCGGATTGTCACACCACGCAAGGCCCCCCCCGACCAGCCATTCCCGACTGGCGACCGCGACATGAAACGTGTGTTGTGCGACGCCATTGTGAATGTGTGTTCTGGCGCGCAGTCTTACGTTAGCTCCTCGTTCATCCAGAAATGGCCACTCACGTGGTCCTCTGGAAAAGTCCAAGTCTTAGCCCCTTCATCCTACAAGTAAAAGAGAATCTCCAGTGGGTGAAGTGATCGGCTTGAAGGTACCAAGATACATCGTGGTCATAACTAGAGCCAAGGTTCCCCAGGCCCCAGTGAGACCTTCTCAAGTCTTCAGGAGGAATGCTGCTCCCTCCTTGGCTTGGCCTCACCGCCATGCTTACATTTGGCTCCCGAAGGCCATGGACAGG